TTCAGAGTTATTGAGATAATCGCCTCCAAAGTCATGCAATGGTTTTTCGTACTTATACGAAGTTTGGAGAAAAAACATGATTTGTGTTTTGAAAATCCGAACTGTCACTAAACTGAATCATTCAAGCATCTCACTCAAGAAGACACCACTGTCCAAGCAACCATGCTCCGCCAGCTCCCTCCGCCACCGTCGCCTGCATTGGAGTCCCTCACTCCCGAACAACCACCCTCCAATGATCTTGCTTCGAACGGCGAGCTGCCGCTCACAGCAATGTCGTCCTCGTTGGCTACAGAAGCGTCTCCAGTGGTTGAGATTCAACTGGCTCAAGACACCAACGAGATCGAGGTCGCGTCTATTCAAGAGCCTGCATCTGTGGACGAGAGCGAGGAGGGGGAAAGTGATGAACCTGACGACAGTAACGATGAGGACTGGAGCGATGTGAACGGGTCAACTGTTGAGGACGAAGTTTTGACCGGCGAGAGTGAGACGGAGGAAGAGGAGGTGGACATTAGTATCATTTTGGAAAATGTGGACGTTCACCAGATTGTGGTGGATCTCATACGTGACGACCAGTGCGAGCGACGTTGCCTCGAAGGCAAGGCCGGAGGAACCCAGACGAATTACGTCTACGACGAGTTCACCAGCGGTAAAGGAAGTGACCAGATCAACTCAATGCTTCAGCACTTCATCCGGACAGTGCTGGTACCGGCAGGAAAAAAGCACCTCATGGTGTATGCAGATAATTGTTCTGGGCAAAATAAGAACAACCACGTCATCAAGTTTTTCCTGGCCCAAGTGCAAAGAGGAACGTTCGAGCGCGTAGACTACAAATTTTTCGTGAAAGGACACACGAAAAACTCATGTGACCGAGGGTTTGGGCACATCCGCAAGCACATTAGCCGCTCAGATTGCTGGACAATGGACCACGTAATTTCCGCCGTCAAAGATGCCGCAGCATCTAACAGAACCGTCCACATTTCACGCGGCAACGACTTCTTCAAGAGCTACAAACCTCTACTACAAGAGCTATACAAAACACTGGCGGGGGTACAACAGTACCAGATCTTTTCCATGATCATGGAGAAGCCGGGTGTAGTGTTGTGCAAGAAGGGTCCGGACGATGCACCGGTGGAGAAGGACCTCCGCCGAATTGTTGACGGAGTCTTGACCGAAAACGAAAAGGTGGTGCGCATGATGGACCACTTCCTCGAAGATCTGCCTGTGCGTCCGAAAAACACTGAGAAAATTGCCGAATTTTACAAGAACATCCGCCCGTATGTGCCGGACGAGTACCAGTCAGACCCACTTTATGCAGCTCCCAGCAAGGAGCAAGGCGAAGAGGCCAAATCTGCGAAGCAAGCTCGTCGAGAACACCGTGCTGCCATGGCGGTTGCTGCAAAAGCCAACCAGGACCGTCGTAACAGAGATGCTGAAGAAGCAGTGTGTCCGATGCCGAAACGCTCGCGTAAGTGAAGCAGAATGCTCTGGTAACACTAGTGATACTTATGTCCAGGGGAAAATAAATTGATACTAATCGGCAGGTAGTCACTAATGTGAATTTGTGGATGAAAGTTGAATTTTGAAGATATTCTCCGTCGAATTAGACAAAACGGACAACGCCATTGGCTCCGCAGTCAAATTTTACATCTAAGTAACCAATAATTGTTTTTTGCATTTTCTGTCTGGGACAGGAGATATTTTTTTGGGGTTGCTGTAACTTGGTCTGTTGTAGGTTCTAGAAGGCTTACGGGGGCTTATTAGAAAGAGGAGACGCCCATCTTAACAGCGATGTGCTTAAATCGCGATTCGTACTTAGGTTCATTAGTATGCTTTTGTTTGACGTTGTCTCAAATGAGCTCTACTATGCGCGAGTAAATACCAACTTCAGTTTGGTCGCTCGAAGGTTACTTGAACAATCTTCAAAGGTCAAGCAAAATCTTTCCATAGATTTTGCCTTTCAACGGTCCCAGTCATTCCCGATTCCCCAGCAAGACAAGCGTAGCACATTGATCCTCTTCTTCCACGTCACCATGGTTAAGCCGTTATCGCTGCTGCTACTTCCCGTACTGGCGCTGGCCCAGCAGCAGACCAGTAGCAACGACGTGCTGCTCACGATGCCCGTGACCATCGACGGGTCGCTTAAAAACCTGCAGCTACTCAAAGGCGAGAGCTTCGAGGACGCCGCAATGTCCTTTGCTCGCTCCAACGGGCTCATGGCCGCAACAGACGACGCTCAAGTGCGCGCCGTTATTGACCAGTTGTCAGGTCTGCTTAAGGACAAGATGCAGGAGGTGGAAGCGGCACAGCAACAGCAGACGCAGTCTAACGAGCCTTTGCCCATTGTACAGCTCTCCATCCCGCTTACCATCGACGGGTATACAGGAGATCTCCTTAAATACGAGACAGAGACTCCTGAAGCTGCTGTGGAGAGGTTTCTCTACGCCAGCGGCTTCAGTATGGACATCATGAGGGAAGTGTACCCCCAATTGGTTACACTAGTCAACCAAAAGTTGGAGGAGCTGCAACCTCCTAAAAAGGAACTTTTCGCCTTTACCTTGTCGCTGGACGGGAGGGAGATCACAGTCCGACACTTTGAAGGGGGCATCCCAATGGATGAAGCCATCGAGACACTGCGGGTTATTGGAGTACACGATGGAGAGTTCATGGACAGAGTGGCGCCACAGATAGCCAACCAGATCGTCCATGAGATAAACAATAGACAACCCGCTCCGGAACACCAAGCTCAGCAGGTTGAAGAGCCAATGCAGCCTCCACAGAGACGAGAGCTGTTCTCGGAGCCCCTGACACTGAATAACCAGCCAGCGGTAATGGTCCACTATGAGGGATCCACCGCTAGAGAGACAGCGGTGCGTTTCTTGAGTGAGAATGGCATTACGGATGACGCGACGATCGAGTCAATGATGCCACAGCTAATTGGCATCGTGGACGGTCGGATGGCTGCGTTGTTGGAGCAAGAGGCGCAAGCAGCCCCAGCTCAGAATCAAGCTGCAGCTGAGCAATATCAACAGCAGCGACAACCACTAGTGACGGTACCAATCAGCCTGGATGAACAGCGTCAAGCCAACTTGAACTACTTTGAAGGCGATGAGGTTGAGGCTACGGTACAGCGGTTCCTTGTTGGTGTAGGCTTGGGCGAAAGCGAGGGATTCAACAACAATGTGGTGCAGCTTTCAGCTCTCTTGCGTGAACGGATTGCCGCTATCCCGCAGCAACAGGAAACGCGGCCACAGGAAACAACAGAGTCAGCGCAACCGACACGACCGGAGCCGCTGTTCTCCATCCCTGTCACGCTTAGTGGCAACGTGTACAATCTCGAGTACTTCGAAGGCCAGGAACCGCACTATGTTGCCAATTCGTTCTGTGTAGAGAAGCACGAGATCGTACGTGCGGAATTGGGCGTGGAATTTGACGGAGATCAGTTGCAAGCGTGTCAGAATGTGCTGGTGCAGTCGATTCTGAACATCCTCCAGGAGCGACAGCAATCGCAGGCGGGACAGCAACAGTCAGGAGAGTCCACTGCTGAATCACCTGCCCAACCTGGGGCTGCAGTACATACCGAGCCTGAAGCCCAGGTTCAAGCTGAACCGGAGACACCAGTGGATCCGCGTGGTATTCTTCTTTTCACACTCGATATCGATATGGGCGATGGCACATCGATCAAATTGCCAGTACACCGCAACGACAACCCTCAGGAGATAGCATCTGCCTTCTGCATGCGACACAATCTCGACCAAGAAAACGTCCCAGCGCTTGTGGATGCCATGCAGTCGCAGTTGAAAGAGCTACAGAGTAGCTAGACTTGGTTTACGTTGCTAAAAAAAAAGTGATCGATGGTCCAATACGCATTAACCTTTAAAGGCTAGATCTATCGACACTTTTGTGTCTCAACGAGTACACTGTTGTTTTACAGTAGAAACTTGTCATCGTAAATGAATTCCTCATAGCGCCCAAGATTTTAATTTACTGGTACATTCGACTTCATGTAGTACTTCACATCCATCCTAATGGCAGCGCTTGATCTTAATTCTGGGATCACTCTCCTTACGAGAACTGTCGAGCAGCAGTCCGCTCTTCGTTCGCATTTTCCTCGCTGGATGCAAGTCGATTTTGCTGTCGGCGCGTCAGCATCCCCATCATCCACTTCTTCACACAGATCTCCTCGTCCTGTTCCGACTTGTCGTCTTCAGAAATGGCATCCTTCCATTCATCCGAAATGGCGCGAGCTCGTGCTTCACTAGTCTGCTGACGGCGCCACACTAAGCACTCGATGCTGTATTCCCGGATGTAATACCAAGGTAAATCCTTCATATCAACCACATTAGGATCGCATTCGGCAAACAGCTCATCCACAATGTTGTCGTGTGCAAAAGGTTCCTGCCCGAAGTTCACGCGAACTTCATTGTACGAATCCACTCCGATTGACGGGTACCAGCTCGTAGATGTGCTCTCGATACCACCTTCCACCACCTGGTCAAGCTCTTTGCCATTGCTTGTGAAGAAGACGTGCGACTGGGTGGTGCTCATATTCCGCCGCACACCGCAGCCCACAGTGTCGCCCACTCCAAAGCGAGGTCCAAATAGTCGACCCTGGAACGACATAAAAACATCAAGTTAAACGGGTCTGATCACGTTAACTACAAGCAAAACAGTACTAAGAACTTACCCTCGTGGTTTGGCAATAGAAGCGACCGTCATCTCCATGATATCCGTAGGATTTCTGGTTCCAGCCAGGTTGTCGTCCCACCAGCGGAAAACTCGCCGGTACGAGTCCCAGAGACGTCAGTTCCTCCTCCACAGACTGTATATGTTGTTCCTGATCTTCCTGGTTCTCACTTGCCCTCGCTGGCCTCTCCCGGCGCAGAATCTGAATCTCAAAGTATCCACTCGACACGAGTCCAATATGGTACAGTGGCTTCCCATCCTTCCCAGCCTCACGTCGCTTGAACACTGCAACATGGAATCCAGGCGGGAACGGCACATTGGCCCGCACACTGCGGTCGTCACCAAGCTCGTCCCCGTTAAACGCAAAGCGAACCACATGCGACGGTCTCGTGTCTGCGTCATGCAGCGACTGAATCCTACACATACACAAGCAACAGCCGGTCAACCACCACGCTCTCGCTAATCTTCAATTGCAGTTGGGTACTTACTGGTGTTTGGCGTCGCTGTAGCCTTGGAACCGCTTGGTCTGGTCTAGATCCGCGTATGACGGGACGGGTACGATAGCGTGCGTAAGCAGTTGGAACATGCGGCTCTCGCTCGTGCCCTTAGGAAAGAGTGCGCGTAGCCTCGGCTCAATGGAGAGCGTGGCCTCGATGTCCAGCGGGAAGTTGAGCGTCGTCCAGCGCTGTGCGAAGAGATCGCGCCAGACATCTGGGAAGTGTGGCAACACGCTCTGAGACACGATTCGCGCTACCACGGCCAGTGCCTCTACGTCGCGGGCACTCGAGAAGCGCAGAATCTGCTGCAACAGCACGTCGTCCAGTGCCGTGAGACGGCAGGCCGCGCGCTTGAGTGATGGTCGGTGTGCCTGGCACATTTGGTGACAATTCCAGAATGGACCTTCGGAATTGGATGTTGAACAGGTTGAACTGTTGGGACAATTGCCGGTACGGTGATGGGTAAGGGCCCGACATATCTTAAAGTTTGTAAGGGCTGTTTAGGAGGGATATGTTCCGGTCGGCTGTTCTGCCAAAGCAAGCGTAATCAACGTCATTTTAGAGAACAGGATCGCAAAGTCTAAATTCAAACGGACAGCTTAAATTTGCAAAGCAGCCAATCAAATGTCATTTTCCTCAACCTCTGATTGGCTATTTTGATGTCTGTTTTACGGTACAGTCCGGTTAGGCTCCAAAACATGACACAATCATTGCACGGCTACATCGATTGTGCCGACGTCGTCGTCGTCGGGTGTGAACATCGATTCGATGTGTATGTACTGAGCTCAGCGAGCTGCGAAGGACCCGCAGAACTGCGAGTCGTACGTGTAGCCAGCTGAAAAAAGCCGACACTCGACTTGCCACCTCGGTTTAACAAAGCATTTCTTTACTATACATGTAGTAAAAACCATTACAGATATTCATGGAATTCTGTACAGTCCTTCTGGACATTGAAGTGGACTGTTTCGCAGATCTTCTTCGAAGCACGCCACCAATCTTCTTCTCCTCGTTGCTCGGGCTCTGGACGGAGCTCTCCCCTTCAAGGCGCCCTCCCCAGCTAGGTAACCTGCGCTAGGTACGCGGAGGTCCGTCTGTAGCCATGAGCATCCATTTATGTTTGCGCGCGCACGCGCTCCCATGTGCAAACCAGTTTCCAACGCATCAACCTTATTTTTTTATGCGTGTTATCTGAGGTTGTGATGATCAATTCAGACCATGCAAAGTCAAACTAACTGAAAGCGAGAGATTCGATATCAGCGTTAAGCAACGTCCGTCCCTGCTCGACGCATGGCAAGAATGCGCATGATCAATCTGGCGCTAACCTCCTCATCGGACACGTTCGAACCAAAGCTATCTCCTGAATCATTGTTATCGTCGTTCTCTTCATCTTCAGAACTCTCACCGTCTGAATCACTGATATCGTACCACTGCAGCTGCTCCGAGACGGTAGTCGCCATATCATTGCACTCTTCGAACAGCTCATCTAAGAGGCAAACCCAACAACATTAGTGAAGTTCATGACAATTCAGTATACACCACAGCTTTAGCGCAAACTTGTCGATGCATACCTGCGATAGCGCTGTACACGAAAGGTTCCTGTCCAAAGTTAAGATGCAACGCGTCGTACGAGTCCAGTCCGACCGCCGGGTACCAGTTTCGATGTTCGCACTCCACATACGCACCATCTTCGCCGGATATTAGCTCACCATTGTTTGTGAAAAACGCAAAAATTGTCCCTGTCCTCGGGTTGATGCGTACTCCGCAACCGACTGTGCTGCCAGACTTGAACATCGGACCAAAGGGCCGACCCTGCTTAAGAAATTGCCAGATTTTAAAGCACAAGTTAGCATCACGACACATCAAATTGCTACCAGCAGTACCTCCTACCTCAAAAGGAGTTCCATGATAATATCGCCCATCATCACCGTGATATCCGTGCGATCTTCGTGTCCACCCTGGTTGCTTGCCCACCAGCGGGAACTTTGCGTTCACCAGACCAATGGACGTCATAACTTCCTGGCCAGACATGGAAGGCACTCTAGCGTGTCGGTGCTGTCGTTTCGACAGACTCAGCTCGAAGTATCCTCCTGGAACCACGCCGACTTGATACACTGGCTGTGTGTGTCCTTGTGCTGTGTCCTCTTCTGTTGGGTTACGCTTATATACCGCGACATGAAATGTCGTCGGGAACGGCATATTTGCCCGAACACATCGGTCGTCCCCCAGCATGCCTCCATCCAGAGCAAAATCGACCGAGTGTGATTCTCTCAATTCTGGCGCCTGTAGAGAAACAATGCTACCAGGGCAGGTGCGTCAGCTTAAAGTAGCTCCTCTGTAGTAGAATAAAAAAATGGCATACCGATGGTATGCATCTGTGTATCCCAGAGCTTTCTGTGTCTCTCTTATATCAGCATAGGACGGTACGGGGATAATGGCGTGGGCCAGCAACTGGAATTTTCGACTCTCAGTACACGAACTGTAATATTCACCCCAACGTTGCCAATTATAATTGTTAATATAAAAAAATAAATGAAAGTTACCTTGGGAACAGAGCATCCAAGTTCTCGTTAATCTGCAACAGCGCGTTGCTATCCAGTGGGTAGTTGAGCGCCTCCCAGCGCCGTCGAAAAATGTTCTTCCAGATGATCGGAAACTGCGGCACCACGTCGCGAGCGACCACAGATGACGCCACAGTGAGAGACTCGACGTCCCTCGGCGCGGCGAAGCTCAGGACGTGCGCCAGGAGCTCGTCGCCCAAGCCCGAGAGGCTCGTCGTCATCCCAGCAGCAAATTTGAAAATACCAATGAACAACATACTTTAAGATATGATTTTGGAAAGGATAATCAAATTTAAAGATGGCTACACCTATTCAACAAGTGCTTCAACACAGCTAGGTCATCATTACGTGGTGGTCAAATTGTGTCGCTCCAAAACGTTGGCAATGAAGGCATCGATGCAGTTGCGTCGCACGGAGCGACTCCGAGCTTTGTTACTGTTTTGCAGCATCTGGCGAGCCGCAAGAGCGTTCATTCCCATGCACTCACTAAACAGCTCATCTTTGTCAACAATCCGCAGTGTATAGTGTTAGTTAAATGACCTTGCAAAACTCACTGTTAAGACAAAGCTTACCGATCACATGGTCGTACATGAACGGATGCTGACCAAAGTTTACGTGAATAGTATTCGGAGAATCCAGGCCCACCGCAGGAAACCATTCATGTGCATTATCGCACGGGATATATCGACCCGATCCTGGGAGGTAACGAGCTGGAATACAGGGACACTAGATTAAAACCGTCAATGGTGCTGGATACATGCGAAATTATACTCACATGTAACAGTGCTACCATTATGCGTGAAGAAAACGCGCCGGCCGTTGTCCTGTGAGCTGTGTCGAATGCCACAACCGACCGTATCATTTACGCCGAAGCGCGGGGCAAAAGGTTTCCACTGCAAATACTCGTTAATCCATCTGCATTTTCCAGAATGGTATTTCAACCGCAAACAACACACACACACTTACAGGGAATGCTGAGTAGATTTTCCCATTGTCTCCATGGTACCCAAACGACGGGATCGTCCATCCTGGTTGCTTCCCAACCAACGGAAAGCTAGACGGAACTAGCCCAATAGCAGTCATTTCCACTCTCCCATTTCTCAGCGTGTGAGAACTCGGCCGTGATACAGGATCAGAGATGCTAATTTCAAAATAGCTGCTTTTTGTCGCGCCAATCTGGTATACGGACGATTTCTTCTTGCTCACAGGGTCTTGAACTCGGCGATTGAATACCGCGATGTAGAGCGACGTTGGGAAAGGTGCATTAGCGCGCACCGATCGGTCATAGCCAAATCGTGCACCATCGAAGGCAAACTTTGTCACCGCACCATCATCACGCTGGCCATTACTCTTGTTTTTCTCCTGTGATATAATTCTTAACAACATTAAAATGCCACATCAGTCAGAATCAGACGACATAATAAAAGTGCCAGCAATATATGTTGAGCACCTACTACCTATGGTGAGTGTCTGAATATCCTCGTGACCGCTTCGTCTCTTTAATGTCCATTCCTGATGGCAACTGAAGAATTGCGCGTGTCAGTAATTGAAATATTCGTGCCTCCGTACACTCACTTAAACAAACAAATTGTCAATACGTTGGACCCCATCACCCTTTTATCAATAAAATACGCTTACAGTGGGAAGAGCGCACGTAGCCGAGTATCCACCACGAGATTCTCAGCATCTTCCGCCATTGCATCGAGTTGGAAGTTGAGTTTTCCCCAATGGCGAGCGAACAGAACGCGCCAGATCTCGGGATACTGTGGCAGCAGGTGCATCGCCACCAATTTCGACGCCACTGTCGTAGCTTCCACATCTCGTTCTGCGGCGAAACGCAGCACGTGCACTAATAGAGCGTCATCCAGGGCCAGCAGGTACGTTGGCATGGTGGCAAGGAGTCGCGAAGAAAGATAAGTGTGGTGTGCATCACACCACTTCAACTTCAATATGGTGTACATACTTCAACTTCAACCTCCGAAAAATGGCTGCTCTCATGGGCAACCATGCCACTGCAAATTGACGAGGAACGGTAGAGAGCAAGGTATATATGGACTATTACTTTTACATGTTGCTGGATCGAGTGCGCTGCAGCTGCGGTAGTTGCTGTACTTTCATGTTTTGAAGTTCCAAACGCAACTCGCTCGCCTCGCGTGTCGACACGGCTAGGTCGTCTGTTAGTCGGCGATTTTGCAGCGCGAGATGGCGCACCTGGTGCTGCAGGTCGACGAGCGCGCGATCTTTGGGCAAATGAAGCGGAGACGAAGACGAAGAATCGGAAGAGCCGGAAGTTGAGACTCGGATCGACTTGAGCGCTGCGTTGACTGTAAACGCGAGATCTTCGCGAAGACGAAGCTGCGGGGTGTTTAAAACCCATGCTCAGTGAGAATTGCATGCTACATGAGCGAACCTTGCGTACCTGTTTTTGATGATCGATCTGAGTTGGAAGTGGGTTAGACTGGTCAGAGTTCATTGAGGTCGATATGACAACCTGAAAGCAATTCAGCACAGCGTCAGTGTCATTCCAAAAACTACCGCTCATCCGTACAAAAGTACCTCAGCACTACAATCGGCTGTGGCGTAGTTGGTCCAAACGAGTGCCGCTAGCTGTCAAATTAAGCAAATCATTCGCATGAGCTCATATAAAGCTAGTTAGACCAGCAAAAGGGTACTGTAATGACTCACCCTCCTCTTCTTCCTCTTCGAGTTCAGTTCAATTCCAAATTTCTTGTAATACTCCTCCTGAACGGGAGGTTGCGTGTGATATTTCAGTCCGTTGTATATCTTAATTCGTTCGCCTTTCATCCTTTTAGCAGTCTGTCAATGAGAAACCTCATTAGGTGTGCTTGTGTGAACTTGAGCAGGTTGCTCACTTACAACTTCTTTGATATTCTTGTGAGGACCAGTCGTTCTCGGGCTCATGATGAGCTTCATTGCAGCAAAGGTAGATCCACGGACCTCATTCTGCTTCACTGTGTCTTGTGGATTCAGATCAGAGTACCGACACCTATCTGTAACATCGGGAAGCATCTTTCCTTCAGAAAAATACGTATTGAGTCGAGTTTCTTCTTCGTGGTAGACCTAGACCAGTGAAATCGAGAAATACATATTAATGGACCCGTACACGCGAAGTTTAAATTCTTTTATCTCAAATCAACGCACCCCGATAGTGAAGAAATCTATCCGGTTGAATGTGAGCCAGAATTTGGATCGGTAAAGCAAAGGTGTGTCACATCGTTCCCACAAATCGTAAACCTTCCGGCGGACCTCGTCGAGCATTCCAATCTTCCACCTATGCGATGACAAACGCAGTGTGAAAAATACATTCGCGAACTATACCAATGCAAAAGTACTTACTTAGTAGTACGTTTCCGCGATAAGAAGCCTCGGATGCGGCACTGCGCTCGAATAACTTGATATTTCAGATTCTTGTAGCTACGCTTGAAGAAGCTTCCACGCCATAACGCTTGAAGACAACAGAAGCCTCGGTACATGCGTCGATATCGCGCATACACAATGAACCCCCTAGCCATGAATTGTAGCTTAACGAGTGCCACGCGTTGTTTTTGGTACTTCTGTACTGCGTAACGCGTGCGATAGATCTTCTGAATCATGATAGCCCCGTTCCGTAGTGCTAAAAAGTGCTGTCGATCGTCCTTTCCCTGCAGCAGAGTATTTAGAGTAATATTCCCCATAGGTTCCAGGATGTCTATTAGTTCCCGACCTTCATCCGAGCAATCACCCATCTCTGAATTGATATGGCAGCGCTTCTTTTCCTGCGGTATTTCTTTCGCGCACTGTACATTCGAAACTGCTTCTGGAGCTGTATTTTGTTGTCATGATAGCGAGCGCATCACGATACAATGTTAGGTTCGAATGCTAAAGGTTGTCTAGCGTGCATGTTTTTAGCCGCAGACGTACGCTGATAATAAGCTGGCGTGTTGCTTCCCAGCTCGAGCCACTGCTGACGAGAGACCTGCTATATCCACAATAGTATGACGTTTAACAACGTGCTCCAACATGAAACTACGTGTTCCCGTCGCGCTTACTTTGCTGTGTTAAACAGTCCGTGATGGAAACTCACTCGAGATACATTACGCTGTTGTTCTCGAGAACTGTACAACTCACGGGGCTTTCTGAAATTGCCGAACAAGTTTCTAGAAAACACAACACGTTAATGTCAAACGCTTGAGCATCCTACGAGCATCAAAGGCATACTTTTTCAGTCGTGGAAATGCTTTATACTGCGAGCGCCACGTGTGAGATTGCAATGTCCGAAGTACTGAAGGATCAGATAGCAGCAACGTACCTTGTAGATTGTGCCGTCGTCTGGAAGACCAATGTTTGACGGAGGTGGGGCAATAAATGTCTCTTGTATTTCATCCGAGCGGTCCTCCAAGAAACTGCAGTCGTATTTCTTCTTGCCAATTGTCAATGAGCGGTTGAGCTTCTGATTGATCGACTGGTCAAAGAAGAGCACTTCTGAAAGTTGCGGATTGAATATGCGGTCTTCAATGAAGCGGTCGAACATCTGAGTCGCAATCAATTGAGCAACAAACGGGCGGGACGCAGCATCGAAATTGTCTTGAAGGAACCGTTTGCTATCAAACAGCGCTGATGTTCCTGATTCTCCTTGCACAGCAGGTTGCTATACAGCATAGGTGATTAGCACTATTCACGTTCACGGTAGCACCAGCAGACTACTTACCAGATAGTTTGCATATTTCTTGAAGAGTGTCACGAAGAAGCGTAAAAACGCTTTACGGATACCCTCGGTTGAAAAATTGTCAGTTTCATTGTATCGACTGTCAGTGAGCCCTCCGCTGGCATCGTTTCCCGTTGCAGACGCCATCGAAGCCGATGCAGAGAAAGTATGTCGATTCAGACCCGAACCGGTTCGTGAAAACGCTGTTGAGGATGCCGGGGGCAGGGATGACGTAGGAAGACTAAATGCAGCACTAGATCTTCTCCCGCGCTTGATCTTGCCAATCGAATAATGTGAATTGAGAGAGTCTGACATGCTCGACTCCGAATAAGACGTTGACAAGGGAATAGTTTGCCCGTGATCGGAAGCAAAGTTGCCGATTGGTTCAAGGTGTTCTTCGTTCGGAAAGGCCTACAGAGCAAACAGTCCCGGTTTATCACCCCTAGATGCAGTTAGTGAAAAAAGAAACCATGTACCAGATCTACTCGACTGATGCCTGCAGCATACGGATCAAAAATCTAGAATAAAGCATAAGTATCGTCAGTCCTATTGTGCCTTGCAAAAAGTAGCAATCCATACAGGAACTATCGACGTACACTAGCTACTTCCGCCAGTTTCGCACGCAGTTTTGAACCTTCTCGATCGGGAAGTTTTGGCACTAAAATGTTTTTGCCTGAGTCATCCACGGCAGGGATAACACTGAGAGACAATAGGGCAACAGGAAGAAGCAAACAGTACTCCTTAGAAAAGTAAGTACGAACACAGTTGTCAGCCAAGCACAGAACTAACCGGTTGTGATCCAGGTCGACAAAGACAACGTTGGTGGATCGACCCGCTATTTGCTTGAGACAGTCCGAGTGAGTACCAACTAGGAAAGGGACAGGTGCCTATGTACCATAGCACAAAACCCATTAGATCCAGCTACTTCAATATTTCTATTTGGCACTCACGTCAATGACATCGAGAAGTGACGTCGGGAGGACAGGGATGTAAGCCCCTTGCCAAGAAAATGGTAGCAAAATCGCCAAGAGCGCCTCTCCTACAGGTGTGAGCAGCCCGATATGCTTTGAGCACAACACGACCTAAAGCCAGCACTTCATATTAGTACGGTTCACTACGTGCAGTTGGAAGTGATATCAAGCATGAATATCATACCTTGAGCTCCAAAGCTACACATGAGAAAACTAGCAACACATTGTTCATGTCGAGAACTTGGAAAAGTGGCCGAAATGGGAACTGGGGTTTATGTTGCATACGAGTCAATTAGCCAGATAGCGACAATCATGAATTCGGGAGGCCACGGCTTACATCGACAAGGGGTAGTTCATTCTTTGGAGGGCGAGAAATGATCAGATTGCGGTCCGGCAAGGTTAACTGGACTTGTATCTGGCCCGGTGGTGGCAGCGGGATTTCCACCAAGAAGTTCGCAATATACCTTTCAATTGGCATCGGCGATTCTGATAACGTCACTCGATAAATCTAGCAAGGCAATCGAATTCATAAGTAACCCGTAGCCTTCTATGCAAACCAACGCAGAATTGATCGATACCTGCTGAAGGAACTGGCGAACAGCTGAGAAGTATGGGTAGAGCGACGTTACTACAACGCATTTTGGACAAAACACTGGCCCAGGAGCGCTTGACACATCTCCTGATAGATCTTGGACCCACTGGGGCAGTTGAGTTCGTTGGTTATCATCTTTCTCTTCAGGTTGATGGGGAATACTCGATGGACGCCGACGGTGGCGCTGTCGATGATAGTGCGGCGCTATTAATGATACAACTTCCAGCGGGTGAAGTTCTTCGTAAAATTTTAACGCACATGCGTATATCTTGACTCCACTCACGTTTGTTAGAACAAACGAAAAGAACACGGGCGCGACGTAGGATTTGTTCAACACAAAACCCTCTGGAAACGCAAAATCGGCAAGATGAGCGGGCAGTGGCGAGTCTCTATACTCGTCTGGAAACATGTCAAGCACAGCCGGGAGGAATCGTATCTCTGTTGGACTCTTCGTTTTCTCAACTGCACAAAAGTTCAAATACATTCACGTCAGTTTGAAGTAAATACAAGTAAAGCAGATGAGATTGGTGAACGCACTGTTTTGGTCGGGAATCAATGCACCGCGACCCACGACGACAAAATAATTGAGAAAGCGCTTTGTCACTTCCACAACATTACCCGCCTTCATCACAGTCGGTTCTGCGCTTTGCATTTTCCGTGCAGGGCTTCGTTGCTGATTGGCTTCCGTCGGTCTACTGGGCGGAGTGGAAGAATTTGTTTCCTCGGGGTTTTCGGGGCTATCCTGGTTTTTCTCCTCGATCGGAACCGGCAACTTTGTAAACTGCTTCACCTCGTACTTGGCGCGGATACATTTCTCGCGAATATCTGTAGCTGCATTAGGTAGCAGCTCCAGTGATGCGTCCACCTTAAGCCACTTGTCAAAATATTTGTTGTAGATCTCATTGACAGTCTTGTTGCCCCCCTTCATCGCTGCAACTTCCTCGTCTGTCCATGTATCGAGATGAAGCGACTTGACTCTCGAGAGCTGGACGCCAAGCTTGCGGTGAGCGCCCGCACAATTAATGCACAGGAACGCACCGACGGTTGTACTGGCCCAGATGGAGTCGTTTAGACGCGACGTGCAGTCTGCACAGCACTGGTTCTCGGAGCTTGAATGCATCATCTCAGTCAGCTTCCGGAAGGCTTGCTGCTGCACCACAGGCGAGTGGTTCGTACCATTCGAGCGTGAGAACATCATCATGATGGTCTAACTAGTAACCTCGACGCCCCGAGTATGCGTCGAGGGTCCCGGGCGATCAGTTAAGGGGAGACTGAAAATGCTGCCACACTCACATCTACTATTATTATCCCACCAATAGCACGACAAATGTTGACGCCTGTGTCTGAAACCGCTCGCCACCGCTACCTGCGCGCCACCATAAAACTTATGCAACAGACACCAAGGTGCGAGATCAACGAGATCAACGAGATCACTTTGCCTGCGTCCTTGGAGACTGCGGCATGCGGAGTGAATGTGCGACTGCAACTTGGTGACGACAACCCTAAATGTCGCGTGAAGGTAACACGAACGTCGCTCCAAGTGCGGTTCGCCTTAAAACCTTACCCTACCGCGGTTCACTGAACCGCGATCGCCTCAGTCGAACCGAGTGATCTAGATGAAAGAGCCAATCAGGCGTCGAAGCGCACGATTGGTTGGCCCTGGCAGGCGCTTTTGGCTCTGTCTAGCCACGCTGGCGTCTAAGGCGCCAACAGTACGGAACTGCACCAAAACTCCCAAGAAAAGCAAACATGGGCATGTAAGTAAAATGAATTGGGTAGCGACAGGCAGTCAATGGTCGCCTTCGCTCGCTGCGCTCGGCGCTGCATGCTTCGGATCACCAGGACGAATGCGACAAAAGAACAGCGTTTGGACAGAAACCTCAAGGGAGAGCTGGATGGATAAAAGAACAGATCTGAGGCACATTAATGCAGCGAGCGAGCGGGCGGAGGCGACAGGAACAACAACAAAAAGCAGGAAATAGTAAACAAGAAACTGACGCAGACTTGCTGCTGTGTAGTGTCAAGAACGGAAAGGTTGTTGTGTTGCTTAACGGCCGCTTCGCTGGCCGCAAGGCCATCGTCGTGAAGACGTTCGACGAGGGAAAGGGTGACCGCAAGTTCGGCCACGCCATCGGTACGACTGGGACAGATATTACAGGTTCATGCAGACAGGATCAAGGCTGACACTTGGGTGTTTGTCAATTTTACAGTTGCCGGCATTGACCGCTACCCGCGCAAGGTGACCCGCGCCATGGGCAAGAACAAGCTCAAGAAGCGCTCCAAGGTCAAGCCGTTCGTCAAGTACGTTAACTACAACCACATCATGCCCACCCGTTACGTCGCCGACATTGACCTGAAGAAGGTCCTGGACGACGAGGTGCTGGCCAACCCGGAGAGCCGCATTGAGTCCCGCAAGACTATCAAGAAGGTGTTCGAGGAGCGGTACGTCTTACCTCAACAAATTGAATACGTACAGGTTTATAGCAAAATTCTGACGTGTTTTATGTTGATTTACAGCTACCTCAACCAGGCCGCGTGCAAGTCGGAGAAGAAGGCTGCTGGTGTCAGCTTCTTCTTCAAGAAGCTCCGCTTCTAAGTGCAATCAGTTGTTTGCGTCTAGAGGCTGGTGGGAATCGGGGTATTAACATAAATGCAGCCCATTCCAGTTCCGTTCCGTTCGGGGAAACAAACCGTCAACATGTTGTATAGTCTTCAATGGCGTCCGCAAGCCTTGAACGTCACCTGCGTCTTGCAAGACCAGACCGGCTACTCATCGTCGTCTTCGATATGAAGCTCCACTCCGTCGGGCCTCAATGGCATAGTCGTCATCTTCTTCTTGATCATTTTCAGATTCATCAGACTCGCTGCTGCTCTTGTTGGGGTCAATCATCTCGATCTTCTTGCGCTCGGCAAATATCCGCTCGCATTTGCTTAGATTACCACCCGCTAAAATCCTCCTTGCACGCTCATTGTGCTTGCTCCTCATCTTTCGGGAAACGGACCGACACGAGTCAACACGCACTAAGTGAAGGCGAGGGCAGCGCGCTTCAAGTGCACGTAGGCTTGCATCTGTCACAGGTGTACCCTAAGAAAGGTAAACGTCAACTACAGCAAGACGTTAATGATTACCCAGTTCGCGACGAACCTTCAAATCAACAAGCTCTAAACTTGTACATCCATCAGAAACGTCCGAGGTCGCAAGAGCAGCGACTCCATCGTCGGAAATGGCGCGACAGTCCTATGGTATACCATCAGTAGTAACCGAGGGGTCATCCATTTGATGGAACAATAATTGCAGCATGGCAATGGCATCCGCACCTGAAGGGAGAGGTATCGAAGTGAGGGAGCGACTTGAGAAATTCCTCGCAAGCCGTCATCGTTGATCTTCGTCTTGTCCAAAATAAGCACTTGCAGCTGAGGCAAGCTTGTAGCATCCTGTTGGCCAGATTGAGTGAGATGCAGTCCAGAGCGGTGACGGCACAATTTACGCGAACAAACCGGAAAAGAAGAGATGCCGCGGCATGATGCCAGATCCAACCAGCGCAACGAGCTCCAAAGTGCTTCGGTCAAGGCCTGGAAATCGCGAAGCCGTACGCTAGTGCAATCGCTATCAAAAGAACAAGGACACCAGGCGTCAGCAGCAGCGAAAGTGTACAGGTACCCATAATAACTTGAATCCGCATACTTTATCGTCAATTCCTCCAGCCTCCGTGCATGTCTAGCAAGGTCTCGAAAGATCTGTGAATCCAGACTCGTCGCTTCTGAAGAAGCGAAACATCACAGCATCAGGATCACTACCATGTATCCTTACTTTCACCATGAAGCAATTTGTCAGCGTACCCGTGAAAATGATCTTCTCCAGCGTATCCCCACAGACTGTAATCAACGAACTAGCTGCTTGGTTGGTGACGAAGTTGCACCCATTGAGAAACACTTTGCGCAGCGCCACTGCATCACGCGGCCACCCGCTGAACGTTAAGGCCCGGCAGTCCAACAGCTCTAACGTCTGCGCAAGTCCACACGTCCTGTTCAGCTATCGAAGCGAATCCAACCACATGGGCATTACTTGTACCGACCTTGAGGTTGGGGCAATTCTTCAAGATGTTGAAGATATGTTTCTTCTGCATCCTTCTCATTATGCACAGCGATTAGATAGTTACAGCGTCTCTGCATGACTGGACAAGTCACACAACTAGCAGCAGCCTATTAACATGACAGTATCTACACACCTGTGCGCCCGGAAGACGCGGAGGTTTTGCTGCTGCACTATGAGCTCAATATGCGCGTCGACTAGCGTGATGTCGGGCAAGACAAGGCGCGTTAGCTGCTGGCCGGCACGACCCAGCATCGCGCTGACGTCGCGTCTCAGCAAGGGTCGGACAGTAACATGGCTAAAGTCGAGCTCCGTGACCGGCAGTTCCTCACGAATCAGCCGGCGCCAGCGTCTGCACACAACTTCGACACGCAGACGGTTGGGCACGACAGGAAGGAACTCAATGATGCAGCGTTCGGCCACCTCGATGAGTGGCGAAACTTTCGCTGTCGTGGCTACAACAGACGCACATCAGACACTGCGTCGAAGGAAGATCAAGCCAAGTGTGCCGCCCACCGGTAACTGCAGTTCTGGCCCCATTTGTCTGTTTTGGAGAAGTTTTGGCAGCGAGGCGTCGGCGCTGGAGAATCCTGTCCAGTGGGACATCGTCTTCATCTTCTAAATCCTCTTCCTGATTTCTTGCGCTAGGCGATGGCGGCGTGGAGCGCTTCTTGCCGGCCATAAAGGTCAAAACTTGGGGCGGAAAAACTCGGAGCTGGGCGGAAGATTGAGTGCCAGCACAATCAATTATGGAGTCGGGCTCAAAATGTGTACGCTGGATGGAAATGATGACGGTTGGTGGCACGTGTAGAAGCTCGACAAACCGAACTTTCCCAATTTCAAGTCGTTAATTTGTAGATTTTTGTTATTTTCAAGTCGAGTTTTGATCGAGCTACCTATAAGTACAGTACTCCTCCAGGAAAAAGAAACTTCCTCTCCACACGCGTACAACATCATCGGCAAGCATAGCGACCACGGCTGCTATACCTAGCTTGTTTAATGCTCATTAAATTCATCTACTCGGCTTCCATAATATTATCAAACCAATGTGTTCGACGTTTGCTCCAGATTAGTCGATCAAATCACCGCAAAGCCTGCTCAAGCCGGAAAATGCTGCCACATGAACATGATAGTTAACCGCATGTGATCTTGGTCGATTTTGTTGGTTGGCAATTTTTACGCGTACACATTATATTGCGATTCGCAAATGTGTCCACGAATGAGGCAACCCCATGAATGTATGGATACTGGTAGGAAGGACATGCTGAGCATTTGATGACATCCTCCCTTTTAGTTATGGCATGATTCGCAGTTCAACGACTCCACGCGTTGGCGATTTTGGATTCCAAAGTGAAAGCTCAAACTCTTGGATATTAGATCTCCAGTTCGTCGACAAGTTTGATTTATTTTTCACCTTGAAAGTTACGTGTATTCGGCAAACTGGTGGGTTGCAAAGCTCTATGAAAAGCAAAAGCGCTGCAAACAGACCAGAAGGCTTAGAGTGTCACAGCACAATGTGAATTGCGCCGCACTCAACGACCCTGTTGTACTACAACTTGTAGTATATGAAGATTAATCTACAGACATCGAGGACAATTTCTTACTATATTGCAGCGTCGTGATGATATCCGACACATAACCGTCTGCCATTGCAGTCACCACTGTCGCAACAGCAGCACGATGAAGGAATCATCTCAAAGGTCACCATTGGGCCCTTCAGTCATTTTCGAGTTTGTACCGCCCAAACGATGGGGAAGAATTCCACTGGCCCGGCTGGTAGTTAATGTGCGGGGTAGGTCCCACATACAGTCGCCAAAATAAAACGCTGACTCTTGTGTCTGGTCACCGACTACTGTCACATTCTGCATCATGCGATCTGTTTGGCCCAGATGGAGCGAGCCACACGTGCAGTCGGGGAACTAACTGCCTTCAGTATCGCGACCAGCCCGAGAGCCCCCAGCCTCCACACGGCAACAAGCGTCGATTACGTAGCACAGTCGCCCCGTCGCCACCGAGTCTCTTAACGCTGCTTCTACATCGGTCGCCGGGACGGCAGCTGCAGTCACTAACTCTCTCCATCAGCACAGCAGCGTCGCTAGTTTCCCCGCCTCACCACTGCGTTTGACGCACGAAAGCGACGACCATGGTGAACCTCTCGATGGACAGCAACGTGCTGGACTCGCCTGCGGACTCGCTGGATTTGCGCCAGCCGCCCTCAGGCTACACAGCTAATGGAGACAGCAGCCGCGGCGAGAGCAAGTTCTTCGCCCTCAGCGTAAGCGGAACCAATATGGCTGGCAAGCCTTCACAGCTCGCCACACCTTTCGTATACGGCACACCCGTAGACAAGAATTACAAGACGTGGCCTTTTCTGACTGTCGGCCTGTGTGCCGCTGTCGTTATCTTCGGCATCATCTACCACGAATTGCCCGAGTACCGTCTGGGCTTCCGCTACCAGCTCTACGTTCTCTTCGGCTCGACCGTCGAGAACGCCAAATGGGTCGGCGGACACCGTGAAATCGTCGAGTTCATCGTCAATTACATGCTCATCGGACTGCCGTTCATGATCGGCGGCATGGCGCTCGCTCTGGGAGACGCGCTACCACCTGTGCCGACGGGAGCACACCGTACAGTCATGCGTTTCCTCAAGCGCAAGATTTTCGTGGGCACCATCAATATCTCATACGCCGAGTCTATTTGCACGCTCGTGTTCCTTGGACTGAACGCCATTTGGTTCTCCGCCGTCTTCTCGCGCAACTATGACGCCCTTGTAGAGGCAGATTCCACCGACTCTGCTTCCGTCTTTCGACTTGTGGGTCAGGTGTTTGGCTTTAACGCCATATTGTGTTTCTCATTGCTGATTATTCCCGCGACGCGTAACTCGTTCTGGATGATCTCCATGGGTATCGACTACTCGCACGCGATCAAGTATCACCGCTGGATCGGATTCTTCACCGTCGCGATGGTGGCGCTTCACGCCATCCCATATTACTACGCGTGGTTCAAGAGCGGCACGTTCCTCGAGTCAGCCTTCCCATGCATGGACTGCGACTACGGCACAGTGGGTAAGGGGCGCTTACAGAACTTCTGCGGTCAATTGGCTCTGCTGTGCTGCCTCATCATCGGCGTCACGTCGCTGAGTCCGATCCGTCGCAAGTATTACGACGTGTTCTACTACTGCCACCATCTCTTCATCCTCGTGCTCTTCCTCAGTGCACTACATTTCTCGCAGTTCGTCATCTGGATGTACCCTGCCGTGTGTCTCTATGTCATGCACCGCATCTTGGCTCGAAGCCAGAGCCGCATGCCGTGCGAGGTTGTGGACCTGGAAGCCATTCCCGGTGAGATCACACGTCTTGTGTTCCGTCGCTCACCTGGCAAATCGGGTCACTACCACGCTGGCCAGTTCGTCTACCTTCGTATTCCGCTGCTGTCGCACACGCAGTGGCATCCGTTCAGTATCAGTTCGTCGCCGATCGAATATGAGGACACTTTTACAGTGCACGTCAAGTGCATTGGTAACTGGACCAAGTCGCTGTATGCCGTCGCTATTCAGGCACGTGAGGAACGCAAAATGCCGCTCATCTACGTTGATGGTTTCTATGGCAAGATGTCCGACGACTTCCAGCACTATCCAGCTCTGGTATTTGTTGCTGGTGGCATTGGCGCTACGCCGATCATCAGTATTGTGGGTAAGATCCTGGACTGCATGCGCAACAATGACCCGAACATGGAGTTCACGCAGGTTTATTTCCACTGGACATCGCGTGAGATCGGTATTTTCCACGAGTTCGAGCCACTGTTGGATGCCATCGAGCAGTACGACCCGGACCACGTGAAGTTCAAGGTTCGTCTCTGCTTCACGGGTGACCAGCATTTGGGTGGCGTGGACATTCCCAACGGTATCACACTCAAGCCTATGGACGATACGAGTATGGTCCCCACTCGTCCGTTTTTCCAGTCGTCACGATCAGTACCCCGTCAGATGCTGCTGTTTTTCATCACGTTCACGTGCAGCTTCTGGTGCCTGTTCCTCATCCGGTTGAACTACCCGATCCTGGGTGAACTACGTGTCAACCAGAACATGTGGCCTATGCAGCGTGTTGTGGAAGTTCTCATTATGATCGCTGGAGCTGCTGTTGGCTGGGCTGTGGTGTTTACGGAGCCCACACCTCGGTCTATGAGCCGGATGGAGAAGTCGCGCCTCATGCCTACACTGGGTAGCTACGGCCCACAGGAGACGATGGCTAATATCGCTCGTGGCTCGGAATACTCACACTCGCTCTCGTTCGACGGCCAGGAAGTCGAGTTCCATCACCCCGTGAGCCGATCACGGTTGAACGTGAAGGAGTTGTTCAACGAAGTTGTGAAGGAGCAGTCGCACAACTTCGCCGTCAACATCACAGGCATTGGCACATGGGTATCAGGCCCCATGGGTCTGATCCATGCAGTAGAGACGGAGGCCTCCAACTTTGCTGGCATCTTCGATGTGCACTATGAGGAGTTTGAGATGTAGAACTACCCAACTACTTTACCCCAGTGCGTATGTGTTGTTGCGCCCATCGTTCGTCGTTTTAATACCAATAGTAAGGTGCTTCTCAAATGCGTGGAGCACTCGTTTGCCTTCAAAGAGGACTAGCGAGTGGCTGAGTTAGTTTTCATTGTCATTCTACTATCGATGCGAGCACTGTTAGTCACTCGAATAGACACCTGCCAGGGACGATATAGGCAACCTGAGAAGAAAAATTCAATGGAAGGTAGACAACGCCGTTCGATGTGTTTTGTCACAATCCCTCTTCGTTGTCATTGGGCTACCAAAGCTTGCTTGAGGACGTCGCACGAGCTACTTAAACTCTCCGCACGGACGCACTTAAACACGGCTGGGGTACAGCATCACACGCACGCTCTTGCTGATGCCCTCGGCCGGCAGGTTCTTGGCGAACTTGGCACGCACGACGCCGTTGCTGCCGTGAGCGCGCATGACCTTGCCCCAGATAACGCGGAACTGGGTGCCGTTCTTCAGGGACTTGGCCTTGTAGATGTAGGCGATCTTCTTGCCCAGGTAGAAGTCCACGTCCTTCTTGTCCGTCAGGCCCTGGATCTTCACCAGCGCCGTGTGCGAGTACTGGTTGCGCAGGCCACGCTTGTAGCCAAGGAACACACCCTTGACGTAGAGACGAGTAGGCTGACCGGAGGAAGCGACCATTGTAACGAGTTCTGCAACAATCACCAACAGACAATAAGTTAATCCTGCACTTCAATAAAAACCGCCGAACCGCCCGCCGTCTAAGAGCCTGTACGTCCTCCATATCCCTTATACCCCAGAAGAGAGAGAGAGAGAGAGAGAGAGAGTAGAATCTGTCTGTAGGGTTTCTTCTGGGTGTGCCTGTGTCTAGTTGGTATTGCTGAGCTGCATAGCGTAGGAGAGCGGCACTTCCTTCTCTCTCTATTCTGAGCGGGCTGCATGGAAGGTGATGGAAGCGGGCAGGGCTTTCTAGACGGCGGCATGGAATCCAGAAGCTCCTCACGTACCAGTTGAATGAATTGAACAAGCGAGGGACTGAAGGTTTTGGCGGCGTCAAGTGCAGTGGACTTGGGGCCCAATCGATTGGCGGCCAACGCCCAGTGGTAGAAACCTGTGGCAATTGATGTTACCTGTTCAAACTGATCGCCTTAAATAAGAAATGTACCAAGAAGTGTGAACTAGGATAGGGCACGGGTATACGTTCTCACAATGACATACAAATACGAAGTGAACGCAACTGTGCTGCCATTCGATGGCCTAAATTAGGTGTTACTAGATTAGTGTGGCAGACAAACTGAAGAAATAGCTACAGCAACGGCTTCAAGCATGTTGCACATTTTCTATGAAGTTGTAGACGATGTGCCGCAGGGGCTGGAGTCTACTTCTCGTCTATTTATCGCTACTGTTCTTCTTGGCGAAGAATGTTGGAGCCAGCTCCACGAGCCACTCTTTCTCAATCACGAGCACAGACCGAATATAGTGCTTACTCGTGAACACCAGCTCGTTATAGACCACCCATTTGGGCGGCGGATTGCGCATGAACAGCGACGACGACGGGTGTACTTTGACGATCTCCGACCGGCCGCACATGGTCTTGTACGCAGTCTTAGATCCACCCAGACCCTCGGTGACGGAGCGCATGGCTGTGTTGAGGAAGAAACCAGCCACGATGCTTTTGCGCAATGGGTCAATGTCCGGGAAACTCGAGTCAATGGGCAGCTCCAGCTTCTCCAAGTAACCTTTGAGCTGCAACCGCACGCTCTCCACGCGCGTCATAGCGCGATGGTTAACATAGTGGTCGCGGCACCACTTGTTGCGCTGCTTCGCGCCGCACTGAATGTAGCCGTTGAAGACATTCAGCAGTGTGATCTGGTCTCCTTCGTACGCGACGAACCGCGCACGAGACTGCGCCGCCTCCGCCTTTTTGTCGCGAGGAGAGTAGAATATGGATTCAACAGACAACATGGCCACGACACTGAGAGCTTCTTCAGCACAACCCAACTCCGTCGCCTTTAACAGCATCACAGCGTACATTGGCTCCACGGGAAGACCAGCCATTTGCCGACCAAGTTTGGTCAGCTTACCCTTGTTATCCAGCGCACCCAGAGCGTACAGCTTCTCAAGTGCTTTAATCAGAGACGTTTTCAGGGGCTTTTCGATAAAATCAAAGCCCAGCACATCATCAATGCCCATGGTTTTCAGCTGCAGCACCACAACCTCGAGGCTCACGCGTTGGATGTCAGGAATCGCACGCTCTGGAAGCTGCTCGAACGTCTCCTCCGGGAACAAGCGGTAGCAGATACCAGGAGCTTCTCGACCAGCACGACCTGTACGCTGCCAGGCTTGTGCCTTCGACACCGACTCGGTCTGCAGCATTTCCATACCGCTCGAGGCAACGAACGAGCGTTGCTTGACAAGTCCCGTGTCCACGACGTACCGGACGCCATTGATAGTGATCGAAGTCTCTGCAATATTCGTGGCTAGAATCACCTTGCGTACTCCTGCAGGTGCAGGTTCGAACACCTTCATCTGCTGTTCACGCGGCATGGCAGCAAAAATCGGACACACCATGAGCTTCAGTGCATCGGCGGGTAGTGATCGAGCGTACTCTTCCAGCAGCGTCTCCAGTGTTTCAATGTCTTCTTGACCCGTCAGGAACACCAGGATACTGCCATTGCTCGTCTTCTCCTCCAAGTGAATCTGCAGCACGGCAATCAATGCCGAGTCGAGATAATCCGGCTGAGTCTTGGCCGTGTAGAATACGTCTACTTGGAACATACGACCTGGAATCTGAATCACCGCCGGCTTGAAATCCTGAAAGAATCTCTTGAATAACGCAACATCCAACGTAGCCGACATGACCACCACCTTCAAATCTGAGCGTTTGCGCATAGCGCGCTTCACGATTCCGAACAAAATATCCGTCTGCAGTGTACGTTCGTGAGCCTCATCCAGCACCACCACCGAATATCTCTCCAGCGTGGGAGACAGCAGCGCCTCACGCACTAGCATACCGTCCGTCATGAACTTAAGCCTCGTGTTCTTGGACGTCGTGTCGTCGAAGCGGACGCAGTAACCGACCGCGTCGCCCAGAGGGCCGCGGTTGGCCTCTTCGCACACACGCTGGGCCACTGTGATGGCGGCGACACGACGTGGCTGCGTGATGGATACGCGCGCATGAGCACGGTCACTCTCCCAAATATATTGCGGGATCTGCGTCGTTTTACCGCTTCCTGTCTCGCCTACGAGGATCACCACTTGATTGCCATTGACGGCCTCGATGATTTTGCTGCGGTGCGTGTAGATGGGGAGACGCTGACGAGTGCGTTGCAGCTCCGTGACCGCTGGGCTGGTATTAATAGAGCGATGCTGGTATTTTTTATGGTGCTTGAAGCCTGGGCCTGATGACTGCATCGGACGCTTGCGTTGCGCCCCATGGTGCTGCTCATGGTTAGGAACCGTCATGGTCGATTGACTGGAGGTTAGTGGCGATACTGAGACCAAGTGAATGCAAGTTTGAATTGGAACAATATGATTGGATAAAATTGGACCAGCTAGCATGACTTCAACGTCAAGAGTTTCACTAGGACTTGGGCTCGCTCTTATTAGTGACGCGGCATTGATTTTAGTTGTCACTGCGCTTACATCCGGCCTTTGCGGCCCATCGAGTGCATGCGCTGCTTGGACGGTGCTCTGATCACCACAACACGTCAAATACCTCATCAGCAACTATCATTTTACATCTGCGCAAAATATAACAAAGAGTACTTACCCTCGTCGGGGACCAGCTTCCGCGTACATAGCGAAGTCTTCTCCAGAGCGCAGGCTAGCAGCACCAGAAGCAAAACCTTTACCACGCTCACCGGCGCGAGCAGCCATCATAGAGCGAATGTTTTCCTCCCGCGTCCATTCTTCCTCTTCCTGCTTCTCCGCCAACCTGGATTAGAACATCAAGTAGCAAAAGCGTTAACACAGCATAAAAATAGTAGTCGACGGTCTCCCGTACGTGAGAATGGTGTTAATCTTTTCGCAGATTTCAGCAGATTGCGCTTTCCAGTTCGAGAGCTTCTGAATCATGTCGTCGATGTCCTCATGGCGCGTGTCACGTCCGACCGCGTACTTGACAACAAAACAACGCGACTTCTGGTCCAGCTTGCCTTGAACTAATCCCTGCACATCGACAAACCGGCAGAACACAGGCAAAACACTTGTAAATAAAGAATCACCACCCATAAGAGCAGTATCCCAGTCCGTACAGAGTAGATAGTGTCGATGAGAATATCTTCCACCTCGCGCACCGTTGATACACCCAGATCCTGTATCAATGTGTCGTAAGGGATGTTCTACAAGCATCAAATACCCAGTTAACCACCCATTCTCAACCATCTACCAACTGCAGTCTCATTCCTTCCTACCTTGAATCTGTGTGCGAGTGACACCACCGTCAGTTTCCTGAGCTTGTTCATTTGCTGCGGCGTGAGGTCTGGCAGCTCGTCCTTTCGGGCTGTAACAACAGCACCCTTAGCCACTCAACCCAACAGAACCCAGCATACAATAGAGGAATACCAACCCACCCAGATAATCGTTGTATGTGCCAAAGCTAAAGATGCGCAGTAGCTCGTAGTGTTCCATGTGCTCCGAGTCCTTGAGCGCCTCCACGTTGGGCATATCAAGCAACTCGCGGAACACGAACAGTTTCTTATTGCTCAGCACCTGTTGGATCAGCGCCACACACGCCCGACCACGTGCGTTCTTGGCCAGCAGCGTGAATTGCTCCAGACCTGCCGCTCCCGCCGCATCAAACGCCATCGTCACTGTAGCAGCTCCTCGGCAATAGCCAAATGGCGAAGCTATCAAAGAATGTATCGGAATGATTGCATCTGTTTGATGTTTTCAACATGTTAGATTGAATCATTACGATACACTTTTCTAATTGTTGGCACGCATTTTTTTTTTAGAAACGTTGCTCAGTAGACAATGGACGCGGAGTTGGAGGCCAACATCCAGCAGGCGCTGCCGAGCGCGCTCAAGATGGCGCTGTATGCGGCCAAGAAGCAGCACCTGGATCTGCTCAAGTACACAATTGAAGGCGCGGACTCGCTATGTAATAACGCGGCGTTCCTGAAGGACTTTGAGGACCAAGAGCACCTGCAGCACTTGGGCGAGACAGCCAAGGGCTTTGCGGTTCTACAGACACAGCTCACACGTTACAAAACGCAGCTGGAAAAGCTCCAGCCTCTTGTGGAGAGCGGGAGGCTAGACCAAAGCAAGATTGATAAGGTGCTCAAGGACACGCTGGCCACGCCGCGCATTAACGCAACCAAACACGACTTCTACAAGAAGTTCTGCGATCGCGCAGGGGTACGGCTGTTGACAGTTAGACACTGTGAGTTATTGAATTGACCGGTGCGTTATCGACTTTTTAAACGTTTGTTCGTACAGATTGAGCTGGCGGCGGATGGAGACGAAGACGTGTTCATCCAGGAAAGCGAGAGCATCAGGAGCACAATCTGTCCCGTTACGCAGATGGAGATGGAAGACCCATTGCGGAAGTATGAGGGTAGTGTGGATTAAGGCATTTGTTGGTGGGGCTGCTGACTTTGTGATTGGTATTGCTGTGCAGTCCGAGCTGTGGCCACACGTACTCAAAGAAGGGTATTGAGGCCCATTTGCAGCGCAGCAAGAAATGTCCTGTTGCAGGTATGTCTTGGTGGATGGAAAGAGTATAGTGTTTAAGGTGTTGATAGAGGTGTTCAGGTTGCCCGCAGAAGCTGTCGTTCAACAGCTTAGAGCGCGATGTCGAGATGGAGGTTATTATTGCTCGCAGGTACTCCTTTTTACTTTTTTTTTTCTTTTAGTTGTTTTGGTTTTTATTCTGACGCTGGTAGCATTTTTATGATGTGCTTAGCCACCATGCCTCAGAGCAACAAAGGTCCCAAGCTGTTGCCGCGGGATATGAAGACGAAGAAGACGAGGAAGAATACGTCGTTGAGTAGGTTAAGGTTATTTGCGCAGTGCAACACAGAACTTCGTTTTCTTTTTGTCTAGAAGCAATTAATGGTGGATAGTTTGATTTTACATTACTAGTATGGTCTTCACAGCGTCATCACCAACTTTTTAGGTACATGACACATTTACAATCGTCAGTGAATCGAGCCAAATCCCCTTCCTCATTCGGATAACTGTGTGTCCCGCGCGTGTGCTAGGGCTCTACTCCTAGCCCGCCCCAATAGCAGCAATCCGGTGAGGCCAACACCGCCTCATAATGTTTAGCGGCATCCTTTCTTCATCGACCGAGGGTTCGCTTTGGAGATTTGAGGGCCATGACATCCATCCTCACCATTTAGCGGTTAGGGTTAAGACCTCTTCATTTTCGGTGGGAATAGGGGGGGGGGGGGTAACAAAATATTTTGTGAGAAATTATAGCCAATTCTGGTTACGCTGGCATATATTTTCCGATAGTACAGTTACCGGAGTTGGAGATTGGACTTGATTTCACCTGGTCCCTCTGGTAACTTATAAACTCTTTGCATCATTATAACAATCCGCCACTACCGAAAATATACCGAAACAAACCTATATTTACAGTATTTGTCAGGTGTACTTTTGGTTGGTATAGCGTACATTTTTCCCCTAATCAAGCCAATCAGACAGCAGATACCGACAACGCGTGGTTCTGAGAACGGGTAAGGCCTGGTCTAAGTAAAAATTCTGAAATTCATTCTGAGAAATAGCGTGTACTGATTGGCTAAAATTGAGTTGCCACTCGGAACGAATTTCAGTTTTTTTTTTACCGTTCTCAATAGAAACCTCAGAACGCCTGGCAGAGGTGTTCTGAAGTCAGAACAAATTGCAGTCTGTACCGGCACTGATTAATCTTCATCACACTCCATTTCGCGTATTACTGTAAAACCAACGAAGTAGCCATGGTGACCAAGGCCAAGGTAGCAGTTTTATGCGTCATGCAGTGCATGTGGGCGACCTTTGCTGCCCTCTCCAGTGATCGTCGTCGAATTGGTGGCTCTACTCGAAAAAATGTGAACACTTTCGCGTCGAATGCGTTTGACAAAGCTATAGCAAGTCGAAGAACTAAATGGTTTCACAGGAAGATGCGTTGTGATAGACGGACATTTCTTGCCATTGTCACGTTAGTCCAGAGCCAGTGTATTGGCAAAATCCATCACAGCACCAAGCACAACCTAACGAAACGAGTTGCTGTGACGATGGTGTATTTGGCCAGTGGAGGCTCCAAAAAGTGACACAATTAATTGTCAGTTGCATGGTACTGCATAATTTGATGATAGAGCTGAAAGATACTTACATTGTAGTCGGAGATGACCCGGATCCAGCCCCTCCTCGTCAACTTTCCACTCTTGCAGATGAAGACGATTTAAGCCACGAGCAAGGGGTTGCCAAGCAGTCAGACATAATGGATTACCTCTTTAGATTGTAACTCTGAATTGGTATACTGAATATTCACTTGAAGAGGCACAACTTCAACTTCCCTCTTAAACAAATTTGCTAAGAAGCAGCTGCAGTAACGTGAGTTGTTTCGCCTGCAACTGCTGGGTTGCAAGTTGAGCGTTCTTCATCTCCTGAATGGCTGTTGCCAGCTTTTCAACAGATCTCATTGACGCTGCAAGTGCTGTCATACCTTCCTTCATTGCGTCGGCAAGGTGTGTCAAGGGAGTTACGGTCTGTGACTTGCCAACTGATGAGTTGAATACGACATCATTATCAGGGTAGTCCTCCTCCTCCTCAGCATCAGCTGGTACTGCGCCAGCAATACCCGGACGACCGACAAAAAAACTGTTTAATATCCCCCATAGTTCAGAGTCGTCTTCGCGACCTATATTTCTGGTGTCACTTCGAGCTGATTTCCCTTGGCGGTACTCGCACTTTAATTTTTTGTATTTCGTGGAAACCTGTTTACAAAGAGAAACTCTTAGCAGAAGAATTCAGTTTTCTTTAAAACAAAAAAAAACAATACATACCTATGTTCCGCTCAGAACAACGTTCAGCTTCTCCGACAGGTGAGTCGCGCAGTATTGCCAAGCCAAGCGCTTCTTCATGCTTGTGTCCGCTGATTCTATGCGCCTTTTCACCTCTTCGTCGTTGAACCGCATCTCGAGCAAATCCACTACCATTGCATTGCTCCAAACGAATCCTTTTCAGCGCGGGTGCCATTCTTGGCTTTTTTTTGCCTTTGCGAGAAGATGACGCAGCTTGTTTCGAAGGCACTGTAGCCGCTGCTCCTGTCTGCGTTGACGGTGGCGAAAGATCTGCATCTCCAGCCGGAGAAGGTCGAGAAGGGAGTGGCGGAATGGTGGACCTCGGCGTTGCAGATGCAACAAGCAGTGATGGTACGGCTGGTAGCTGTACGATGGCGTTTTGAGGGGTCATAGATCCCCTTGGCGTAGAAGTACAGCACGATGCGAAGGCTTCCATGGTCGTTCTTGTCAGGTTGTAGAGAAGGTAGTTTTAACAATGTGAGGTTGTAGAGAAGGTAGTTTTAACAATGAAGTCTCTGCGTATCTGCTTCGGCTTCATCTACACTGCCTCAAAATCTTATTACTCAGAATTTGTTCTGACCAGGCCGATTCGTGCCAGTACTCAGTACAGTCTAACCTAGTTTGACCATAATTCGTTCTGGATTGACCCCGTCCCCTAGTACTAAACTCAGTACAGAACTACTTAGACCAGGGCCTAACCAGATTTGCTTACTACACATTTACACAGTTAATTGGTTTAAATATGGCCAATAGGGCCTGGGCAATCAACGCTAGAATACCCTTTACATGCACTTATGGCTTCAATTGCGCTGGAGGCAAAATGTTGGCTCAGATCTCTGTATAAACGTTAAATAGGGCCTTAAAAGCGCGGGTGATCAATTAATTTTAATAGCAGTGGCGGCAGCAGCACCATTCGCCCACAGTGACTTCAATGGTGGGCGGCTCTGCCGACTGAAGCACGACGAGTCGTCCACCATTCACGACACGGATATCCGCTTTCGCAGCCTTCTAGTAGTCGCTTGCTACTGAGTCGCAGTGACGGAGGTCGTGGCGTCATCAACTAATAAAGTCGATGATAATGCCTTCTATTTGATTTTTATGTGGATTTAGCAATAGAAGCCTGATAACATAGACATCTTGACTTAATGTCGTTCTAAAGTGTCGTGGTCAGGGTACAATTGATCTTGTATACGTATTGTTGCAGGTAAGTAGATAGCGTTTTTTGCTCTGACTTACCACTATCGAGGAGATTGAATTTTCTCGTCGATTGAACTCGAGAAAACAGGCGTACAGCTTGTCGGTGTGGCTAACATCGAGGAAGCCGGGGGCCACGTATCGTTAGGGCAAACAAAAAAGTTTTATAATTTACGAATATCATAATAGAAATGCTCAAAGGGTGGATACAAGACTTCTAGAGCGCGATACCGCTACTGTAAAACAAAACATAGTGGCGGCAACGAAGAACATGAAGACACACCTCAGCAACTGCGACGCTGTTCCTACTCCACTTGGGCGACTAACGATCGATGAAACACTCGAGTTTGAAGAGGAGGAACGACGTACTTCCGGCACCCAGACCCTTATTACTCAATTGAACGCTAAGGTCTATCCGAGACTTAGCCGAGAAGAGCGTGAGGCGCCGAATCTGAAGTTTGCAGCTGCAATGCACATAACTGAGGCGGGCTTAAGCACGTTCGAGCACCCAGCATGGCAAACTTTTATTTTATCTTCTTAACAATCAATGGTCTCCTCCGAGTTCGTCTATGTTGTCGACGACACGGCTTGATGAATGCTACCGTTCGAGTATGGCCCAGATGGTCACGAAATTGATCAAGGCGCCGTCGGCTACACTTGGAATGGACGGAGCGACGAATGTTCTATCAAGGAGCACGCCGAACGTGATTGTCCATGATCTCCGTCCGTGGTTTGTGGAGTACTTGCGAGCAGGCCTGAAGAAAGAGTCTGCCCCGGAAGTATTCAAGAAGATCGAAGACTCTATATCACGTATTCACGCATATCTTCAGAAGGAAGTTGTATTGGGTTTGTTTCCGACAGATGCAATCTCATGCGAGCCATTCGAGAGTTGTTGATGTCCAAGAGAGTGGTTACCTTTGCATATGGATGTGGAGCACATGCCCTAAACAACCTTTGCTCGGATCTTGTAAGGCTTCACAAAATAAAATCACCCGTTCGCAGAGGGGTTTGCTTGAGCAAGACTGTAAGAACCAAGGGCTGCCGAACAAGATATACTCAGCGTTGTGTACTGAGTTTTCGGGAAATCCATACGCGGTGGTGTTATACTCCGCTTCAAGTTGGAGTAGCGTCAGCTACATGTTTGCTCGCCTTGCAACAGTGAAAAGAGCAGAACCCGGTGTTACGACGGCTGTCATGAACGAGCGATCAGAGCGGGGCATCGATGAAACCTACGTACTACTCGCTGGGTTCTCGGCTGTGGCGATGGATCCGAGCTTTTGGCAAGACGTCGATTGGTGTGTGAAGGTCTTTGACCCAATCTGCAAGTGTATCGGAGTTTTGGAGAGCAACAGCGCAACGATGGCTACGGCATTTGCGTGCTTTGTATTCGTGCGCTTGCATATTGTACAGCAGCTGCAGTATAGCTCAAATCGTATCTAGAGTCCGCTTCACGCTCTCGCGTTTTACTGCGACCCTTTTTTACCGCGCTTTTCGCCTAGGAGTCGTGCAGAAGTATGGATCGAGTGCTGTGCAGCTAGGAGGGGCGACCTTCATACTCAGTGCCGATGTGCTGTCGGTATACTATGTCGCCTTAACAACCAACTCCAAGCCAAGAAAGCGAAGGCAGTTAATGAGTTCATGCACTTTGCACACAAGAAGAGTCACTAGCCCAAGAGTGGTCTAGTATTGCAGCGTATCAACCTCAATTGGTTTAGACACAGGCCCAAGGTATGCTCCCACTACTTTCAAGCCTTCTAGTCAAAGTGTACGTAGCTCCGGGCTCGACTGCTGGCGATGAGCGCTAACGCAAGGTATCGAAACGTGCTCATTCTGCGATAAGAAACCGCACTGGTGCTAGCAAAATCGAAGAACAGGTTGCTGTGGCTCACAATTCCGCAGTCGCAAGCCCTCGAGTTGAACCGCGAACGCCAGAAATTCGAAGTGTTCATGGTTACTCAGCATATAACCACGGATCTGGGTGAGAATGCTGTGACCACCGAAGCCACATACAGAGACGGGAACAGGAGCGCAAACGAAGATGATGATGAAAATGAGGAACTGACGGACGCAGAATTTATCGAGCAAGAGGTACTGAGTGCTGCGTTAGCTCAGATCGCTGTCCCACGAGAGATTCCAGATCATCTTTTTTTCCCAGAACAAGAGGAGTAGAAAGTCTTCTTTTCCAGAAAAAGAGACCGTAGCTTCTAAACGTTTAAAATGTCCTTGGTCTGAAAAGAACGCGTTAAAAATGTTTAAAATAACCTTATTTTTTTCATCATAGAAAATGTACGAATCATGTGCGGCACATGACTTGGTCGAAGTGGAGCTTCCAATAATTCGAGTTTTGTCCAATCACACAACGTTATTTCGGCGTTACCACTTCCTCATTATTGAAATAATATTGTCAGTTGATAAAAGACTTGTGACAAGATCTGTTACTTTTTCTTGTCAAAACGCGTTGTCGGTTGCTGCTATTTGATTGGCTCGCTAATTGCTTTGTCGAAAAATATTACAAGAAATCATAGCTGATTGTGGTTATACAGATATTTAGTACTTAAGTATCCGATACTAATGTTACGGGAGAAGGAGAATGGCCCTTGTTTTGTATTTATGTTAATTAAGAAGAGTTTTACTCTCAACTCAAGCCAGACAAGCTATCAAACATGTTTTTGTCGTCGATTTGAGCACGATGCATTAACCCTTTCGCGATAAAAGGAAGCAAAATGCCCCCTTTTCCTGGTTTTCAACTAAGTACGACGATGTATCCATGCGAAAGGTTTAAGAGTGACGTTGTCATGACTCATGTTGAGTCAAATCTAAGATGATTTGCTTTATTATAGTATATTTTATTACAACATTTTAGGCTTTCAGCGTTCAGCAACAAACTTAACATGCAAGTTGTATGATGCAACACATGTTTGCGAGCAAGTCTTATTAACACGATAGCCTGTATTGCATCAGCGCGTGCTATCTGAGGACCCTTCGATTTTCTGCCTTAGATCGTCTACAAAATCCACTGTTTGCCATGTGTTTGAGCTGCTGCCGCTGCAACCAACCGCGTTATCCGCCAGACCACCACAACACAATTTGTTTCTAACAAACACAAAACAACAATAATGGATTCCAAAGGTTTATCCTCATGCAGGATCACTCCAACAACGAAAATGAGAAATTTCTTTAGATATTCTTTCGATTGTGGATTCAGTGAATATAAAAACTGTAAAAAAGGAAACTTTTGTTGAGGATTCTGCAGCTCAATCATTGAAACGACATCATGAATGATTCTCGATCGTCACTTCTTTCCGATTTGCTCGGCTGTCCTGGTGACCACATTCCGCCTCCACGCCAAATACACGGACATCGTCTACCAGTGCAGCAACGATTTCGCCCTTGTTAGTTCTAACAATAGGGCCGATGAAATAATAACACGGCGCCTCGAATTCCGCCGTCTCGTTCATAGACACTCACACCAATATTGCCCTGCTCGGCTCAACAGCAGCACGAGTGTAATGGGCTTGCTAAGTGCCCACTACTTCGGCTTACACGTTAGCGCACGTGTATGAGGAAGCGTAGTTTGCTTAAACTTAGATCAACTATACTTACGTCTCGTAAGTATAGATTTACTTAAATAAGTAAGCAAAAGCCGATTTACCGTAAAAATGAGAACTGTT